GGCGTGGAAATCGCTCAAAGACAGATTTGAAAACAAACGGTTAATCGTCCAGCACCACGTGGCCAATTTGTTCAATCTACCTCATGTAGTTAAAGATTCTTCTAGTTCAGTGCGACAGTTATTAGATAGTTTTAATACAGATCTTGAAGCTTTGAAATCTTTTGATATCGAAATAAATCCATCAGATATCTTATTCATTTATTTAATAACATCCAAATTAGACTTTATCAATCGCAAGGGTTGGCAAGAATCTTTAACTACGAACTTAATACGGTTACATACGGGATGTCGTCATCTTCCTATGCCGCGATCAAGTGTCTTACGATTATTGTCGGATCAAGTGGAAGCAACATTTCCAAAAGTTGCCGAAATAATCAAAGACAATTTTTACGTTGACGATGTGCTCTACAATTAGTGCACGTGCTTTCCCAAGGATGTTTCGCTTTAGCCAAATGGACTTCGAATAACCCAAATATTTTACCAACAAAAAAAAAAACACCTGCAATGTCGCCCCCATGGATCGCGCGTTTTGGATGTCCGCGACGAATAACGACAGACCAAGGAAGGCAGTTCGAGGCAGCCATCACGACGACTTTGATGAACCTGTTGGGAATTAAATGTTGCCGAACAACACCATACTGGCCACAGAGTAATGGCCTCATCGAGAGGTAGCACAGGACAATGAAAGCTGCGATAATGTGCCAAGAAAATGAGAACTGGGTTGACTCACTTCCAACTGTACTCCTGGACCTACGTACCGCCATTAAGGACGACCTGAAATGTTCGCCAGCAGAGATGGCGTACGGTACCCAGCTTAGTATTCCGGGAGAGTTCTTTTTTACGACAAACGATGTCTCAGCTGAACCATTCACATTCGTAGAGAAGTTGAAGCTACAAATGGAACAACTGTGACCAGTCCCAGCTTCCCACCATGACAGGCGACGCACATTTGTCCACCCAGAGCTGGATACATGCACCCACGTATTTCTACGTGACGACGCAGTACGAAGACCGCTGCAACAACCATACAGCGGACCACACCCAGTAACATCTCAAAGGGGAAAAACGCTAACCATTGTCGTACGAGGCAAGCCAACAACTGTCAACATCGAAAGAGTTAAACCAGCATTTCTCCCACAAGAAGCCGAACCGCCAATTTTACGAACAACAACGTTCTCTGGTACAACTCGCTCTCTCCGCCATCGTCCACAGAAGTAGCAAGAACACGCCACCGCTGAGTTCCAACGCGACTACGATGTTGAAATGTTATCTGTTGTAAATATGTGTATATAAAGAATAAATCCATATCAAAACATCCACACGTCGACTTGCCCTTCGCAGATACTTAAAACTATTTGCGGTAATGCACTCCGGCGCCTATTTTCTATTACTCTAGACTGAAAGGTTGTCTTAGCATGAACATGACATACAGTCACAGATGGTGTTCACAACAGCCATGCCATAGAATAGTAGCAATTGGTAGCATAGCATAGTAGATGTGTGTTTATAAATAGTTATTAGTAAAAGCAGTGGTGAGTAAAAGTGGTCGTCCATTTTGAAACTTGTTGGTGTAGCTGACAATCTTAAATAAAAAAATTCACGAAGAGAACCTGATCGAATTACTTAAACTTTATTATTATTATGTGCAATATGCAGTGCAATACAGAAATACAACAAGAAAATTGAGAAGGCTTAGGTTAGAATTTTGAATTTTCTCGCGCATGAGCCAACAACCAAACATTACACAGAAGTAGGATTCCATTCTACTTTCATGCTATGTCGGATTATTTCGAGCTGTGTAATGTCTATGCTAGTTCTGTGTAAAAAGTACATAAAGCATAACATAATGGCTATGTGAACACTCTCATTTAAATGTATTGTGTCTACTTCTATGTTTTTCATTAACATAGCATAGCACAGCCTATGTGGCGAGGCCTTTAGAGTGACTGTGTCATCTTAAATCGACGAAAAAATGAAGATGCCATAAACGTCGACTTGTCCATCGCAGATACTTAAAACTATTTGCGGTAATGCACTCCGACGCCTATTTTTCTATTACTCTAGACTGAAAGGTTGTCTTATCATTGTATGACATCAAATATATCCGTCTTTGCAAGTCGCGACAGGACTTACAGTCACTGTGCCATCATTTGGGGATCTGACTAAGTGGTTGGGTAGTGAGACATTTCTATGTAAAGTTATTTCTTCAAAAATATTTAAATGTACGGAACAATGTACATTGTCGGCTTAGTTAAATCATCTGGAAAAAGGTCCTCACCGACGTCTCAGACATTTAAAAGGGGTAATGCAATATTGGCGCCTTCTTTATTAGTATAGACAGAAAACTTATCTTAACTTTACATCATCTACTTCTTTAAGCGCATAAGTAATTGTCTCTTCAAGACCTTAGAGGACTTAACATTTTCTGTGTGATTACCTGCGAGAAGGTATTAGCATAGTGGCGCCCAATGTTAGTCACAAAGAAAATGTAACTTTCGGCAAAATTGTAAGACTCGTACCTGTCGTTACCCTATCCCTCCCTTTGTCAACCCTCTGAAAAATTAGTTTTACTTTAAACTTTAGAAAATACAGACGCTCCTATTCATTCAGCTTCGTAGTACCGTGTGTTATTCCTGAGAACGATATGGCCAACAGTAAGTTTTTAAGAATGTAATTTATTCCCATTTCTTATAAGTTTTTTTCTTTTTTTCTAGATCTGTGTATTATATTATTTTCCATTAGGCGGAAGGCCCCGTCTAGAAATGATCTTCGCAAAAGATTTATATGTCGGTCTTGTGCAAAAAACCGTAAAGGACCAATGTGGATAGGCCACATCCATACGTTGGCGAAGGTATATTGCGCTAGGTGCAATGTACAAATTGTGACGAGTCGAAGATTCGTTTGCCAAGGTAGACGGCTTGGATTCACGGGCGCTAGATTCAACTACACCCACTTCGTCAGAGAGAGATATTATCCACTATCGGATGAAGAAGACGACGGCGACAGTGGTGTAGAATTGTGATGTGTGTAACTGTATGTATATAATTATATAATTATTATTATTATTATTATGTAAACCGGCTGTTCGGTAATAAAAATATCTATTTAAATTTAAATTATTTAAATTCTATATCAAGTTAACAGTGATCTAATTAAATTTTTAATAATGGTATAATTAATTCAATTACGTTCGCGATTAAAAATTAAAGTGGTTAACGACTTCGGAGAGGGAGTACAACAAGAAAATACATGCAGAAACAAGTCTGTGCTTGTAGATGATGACTCGTCTGCAAAAAGTGCGTCGTCGGTATGTCTTTAATAACAAAAAGCTAATGGACAAACATCATAATGAGATGTTGCCGTGGGGCTAGTGATTAATGACTTCGGAGAATGGGTATAACAAGAAAATACATGCAGAAACAAGTCTGTGCTTGTAGATGATGAGTCGCTTGCATAGAGTGCTTCATCATTATTGAGCTATTGGCACGGGCTAATGGTCATTACGATCTAATTTTTAGTTAATAATGCAATCGATCAAAGAATTATCAAAACGCTTCAGATATTAACCCACATCAAATCGTATTATATTCAGAATGAATTAATGATGGTGTAATTAGTATTTTAATCATTGATTCAGTTGCGTAATCTTAAAACATTATCGTCTTTATGTACAAATGCATGCAACCCGCAATACACAATTAAAAATATATATTTAAATTTAAATTATTTAATTCCGCTATCAAATTAATAGTGATCTAATTAAATTTAATAATGATATAATTAATTTAATTACGTTCGCGATTAAAAATTAAATTATGAGTAATCAAAATCCATTAAGATCATTATCTTGATTGACAGCACACGTCAAAAATCCATTAAGATCGTTATCTTGATTGACAGCTTTCAAGATAACGTCACCTGTCAACATGATTTATTACCCCACTAATCCTAGGCACTATCTACTACCGCTGTCAATGGAATACTTCAATTGGAGGAGGAATTCTTTTCAGCCATTGATGTCCTTTGCATGTCATTAGGAACGTACACAAAACATTATGGGGAAATAGCTGCAACATGGAGTACACCAAATGGTAGGAGATGGTGACATACAAAAAATTACTGAATCGCGTCCATATGACAAGAGAAAGTGGAACATCGAAACCATTTATTAAGAAAGTTTTCCACAAAATTGAAAGCAATTGTTGCCGATACTTGCTATTCTCTTAGAGAAAGAAAATTATTAGAAAAAAAAAACATTGTTATAGAAAACAAAAAAAAAAACAAATCCGAAGTTACACTTTCTCTATATATAGTAGTTGCAGTGATTTAATTAGTTTTTCGCACACAGACGTTATTTTAGCTGCTTAGACTTATAACTCAATTTTGCATAATTTTTAACAGGAAGCTGTGTTAAAATTCGTTTTTTGTACGATAAAATAGTTTTTTTGTTATCAGCCGAATCTTTACCTATTATATTAAACCTATAAAAATCCCTTCAAAAATACCTGAGTTATTGCGCCAGAAAATGTTACGTGGGACACCCTGTATAAACTAACCGAAAACGAATTTCTTAAAAAGAACTGATGAAGAATAAGATAATAATCTATAACAAGAAACACGCTAGTAAGTGGATAAAAGAAAAAAGTAAATTGTTGACGGCTTCGAATTTTGCTGGAGTGTGTAAAAAAAAAGAAAAATTCAAATAGCACCAAACTTGTAAATAATGTTTTACAGTTATAGATTTGAAATTATTTTTTAACTTGACTATTCTGACTATTAAATTAAAATGGCGACGTATTTACCGATAAAGAAATATCGTCTGAACACATAAAACATCCAACTTCACACTTTTTCCGACAAAACAAAAACCTAGACAAAACCCAGCAAAATTCATTTACGTTGAATGTTGAACCAGACACCACCTAAACCAAATCCTCCAAGAGTTTTCACTGTTTGTTCGTGAATTATTTGTGCTCAACGTATTTTTTTTTTCTGGAATCATGGATAAACCCGGCCCTTCGCGCGACTCACGTAAGGATGGTCCTCCACCAGTGCCTACACCTGTTTGCCCGGAGTGTAACAACATCTTGTATCCTAAAGAAGACAAACCAACGAAAACCTTGTACTACGCCTGCAGGCACTGTGCGTACAAAGAAAAAGCTAAAAGCAATTGCGTTTACGTGAACAGGGTACTTAGAGAAGTGGACGAGTTGAAGAATATCGTGCCGGAAGTAGTATCTGATCCCACTTTGCCAAGAACTGATTACCATCCGTGTCCAGCATGTGGTCACCGAGATGCGGTGTTCTTTCAGTCCGACAAGCCGAACAGTGAAATGAGGTTGTACTATGTTTGCGCTAAATGTCATGAATGTTGGACTGAATGAGATACTATTTGCAATGTAAATTAATACACAATAGAATAAAATATTACTTGTATGTGTTAGTATATTTATACAAAGTTTGGTTCACCTGAACTTGACCAAAAAAATATGAAAAGCAAATAAGTAAAATACATTTTACATACATTGTCAGTTTCGAAATAACTGTTTGGGTACTTCTCTAATTTCGGTTAATTGTTTGTTGTAAGATCACTTTAAATGTATAATAATGAAATTTTAGTCAAAGAACCAAACCCATAAAACTCTAAAATCATAAATTACACAGGAACGATCGCCAGAGACCGTCCACAGGACCGTATCAGCGAAACCTGTGATTTTTGTGGCGACAGTTACTTTGTAATTTCTGTAACAAATTTTGTTGGAAAACTATCACAAATCGTCCCATTAGTTGTGGTTATCTGTGATAATTTAGACAGATAAATACTCCCCCCACCCCCTCCAACGTTCTGTGTTTATTCCACAAAAGAACTGTAAAAATCATTTCTTCTGAACACTGCGTTGTCGTAATTTTTCACGAAATGACATTTTGGCGTCCACTTGTTTCGATAACAGTTGTCCATCATCATCAACCATGGACGAAAATATTCTTTTAAATAGCGCAGTCATTTTTTATTTTTTCCTGAAGATGCCTGTCGTTTTTGTTTTGTTTGCGGGATAACCAGGTTAACAGCGCCTTTTTGTGATCCTGAGATTCTTCATGACTGTACGAACTATGTTTGCCCAATCTGAATAACCACCCCATTAAAGATGTTTGTGTTCTAGACAATAATTTGCACACTAAACAGAAAACATTCCAGCACTGCATTTATTTTCTTTATATTGCAGAGCATATTTTAGATGTGGTAATCGTTTACAGTCATTTCGGAAGAGTTGGAAGACATGGTGTTAATTTCTCAGGAAAAAGTGAACGTTAAAGTAGAAAAATCTGTTTGTTGTTCTCCACAGCCAAGTATTTCTGCTGCTGGTAGCGATGCAATAATGCATCAAGAATCAATAGTTCCCCTTTCAGTACCAAATTCTGGAGCAACAATTCCAAGTGCAACAGGTTGATCATATGTTTTACCATTTTAAATTTTTTTCTTCCAAAGTTTTAATTTAATTGTAAGTAAACTTGAATAGGTTAAGGTTATAAATATGAAATATGTATCTGGCTACATCGGGAAAAAATTATAAAAGAGTAAAAGTATAAAAAATAGTGTATGTTCATTCAAAGAAATTATGTATTACAGTAGAATGGCAACTAAAAGAATGGGTAACATTTGTGAGGAGCAAAATCATATTGAGCGAATTTATTTCTTAAATGTGCAAACGAGTAAGTACATATTTATACTTATTACTTTTTAAATTTGGTGTATGGAGGCGCTTACTATAAACTGTGTGGGGGGGGGGATCAGTAGAAGTTAGCTACGCTACTGGAAAAAAGATTGGAAGTCGTGGCGTAAGATTAGTAACTATCCTATAAAAGTAATAAAAATAATAATGTGGCCGCCTGGAAGTAGGTAACCAGATATACACCCAAAATGCAGCCACCGGATTGGCAGTTCCAAGGCGCAAATCCAAAGGGGAAATGCCATGGTCGAAAAGTAGAATCAGAAAACTCTCTCTTCTCAGAGTCCTTTTCGAGTACAGACGCTCACAACCTCGTAACTATATTATTAAGTGCTAACTTTGTAGTTGGTATTATTGTAAATAAACCTTTAATAAAACCCGTATTTCCGTTAGTAATACGACGACAACAATTACAATAATAATGTAATACCAATACTGAAATTTTCTATTTTTATGTGGTTATCTAAATTAATCTAAAATTAATTTCATGTAGACTTGGCAAGATCAATGCTCCAGAGCTAAAAAGAAGAAATGAGAAATTAACAAATCTCGGAGAAAAACCTGGTGGCGAAGATGGTGGACAAACTTTAACTCTGTTTGAAGAAATGGTTGTGAATTTAATTGGAGTAGTACCAATCAATGGACATCCACAGACCACAGAAACAAAGGTACATTTGTCGGACGATGACGACGACATTGTAATGTCTGTTGGTAGTGTTACGGAGGAGACGTGTTTCAACTATGTTTCGGTTGTTTCACGAGTAAGGTTACCGTCAACATCGGAAAAACCGGAAGACTGCTTCTCGCCATCAACATTCAAAGACACCCCTTTAATAAGAAAACGGACTTTTCCCGAAAAAAAACTCGGTGAAAAGACAAGATAAAAGCGTTATAGCCGCCGAGCAGCGTGTCGAGGAAATGAAAGAAAAAAAACAAATTAAAAAAAATGGTATTACACACAGAAATTGGCGCTATATGATAGACATGTAAATGCGACTGCATCTTATTATAAAACCAAAACCAAACAATTATATAGTAATATATAATAATTGTTTTACACATATTTAGGGTTTTTTTATATGATGCAGTTTTCAAATAAAATGTCTATTTATAATTGCCTACACTGCAAAGTGATTTCTACAATTAAATTTAGTTTTTAGTTGTCTTCTACCCTGATTTAACAGCTGAAGAACATCACTTTCTCCTTGACAAAGATCTCCTAGACTAAAAATGCGGTAATCTATATAATTATCAGCAGCTTCAGGTGGTACATCAGGGAAGTTATTATTTATGCAAATATCATGTAGCACAGCATATACATTTATAATTTTCGATGCCCGTTCGGGAGAATAATATAGTACCCTATGTTTCAGCAAACATCTAAATCTACCTTTTGGAACATCATTACATTGTTCGAGGTATGTTTTGACCACATGTTTTTGACTGGGTACTGTTTAGCGGCGTGTTTTCAAGTCCCGACGGTGCTTCTGACGTATGAGGGCCCACACGCTCTGGAAAACACGTGGAAGATTCGGGCGACCTCGTGACTCATCGACGCGTACGTTTTTTTTCATTAATCACGCTTTTTTATCTTTCATTTAAAATCTCATTTGTTAGACGATCACTGCCAAGGCCAAACTTTGAATTTTTGAATTTTTCGCGGGCCTTTCAAACTTTTTCAAGGTCAATTTAAAGGCGGGAAGTTTGGGTTATCACAGAATTTGGTGCCGCGTGACCAGTATACAATGTTTGCATACTGCGTTAGAGGAGTGCATTTAATCTTGCATATATACTCATGTGTTTTGATTTAGAAAAGGCAAAGTGACCAACTGAAGAACAATGGCCGAAAGACGGGACCGCAGTAGCGACAACCGTGACGACTGCGACTTCCAATAGAAGCCGAAGAAGCCCTAGCGGGGAACGGGAGCGTTCTTTCGAAGGACGCTCGAGGAACCCCAGCCAGGAACGCGGCAGACGCGGAGAGCGGCGCGAGAGAAGCCCGAACGAACGACGCCATCGGTCCCAAGAGCGGAGCCGATCCAGGTACCACGACAGGGGCTGGCGGCTATACGCTTTGGACCTCCAACGACAATTGGTGGCGACATCTTTGCCCCGCCCTTCCTTTTCAGGCACGCGGACAAAGACGCTGGAGTTCCTGCGGGAATTCGCAGCAAGCTGGGAGAGGTGCTAAAGTGCCTCAAGGAAGACGCTAGGACATGGGCGATGGCCAGCCGAGACAGGTGGAGCACCTACGAGGACTTCCGCGATGACTTCGTGGAGTTCTATTGGCCCACACACCAACGCAGGGCCGTGGCCGAAGAGTTCCGGCGAGGACACTTTGACCCCCATCGAGACGGACTCATGGTGGACTACTTCATCAAGAAGTACGGGCTCTTGAAGTTGCTGATGTTACCAGACAGCGAGCTCGACATCCTAGATAACATCATGAGGGTGTTCCTAGACGACGTCTGAAGCCCATGGAACTCCATCCCACGGCGGGAAAGGTGTATTGCCAGGGCTCAAGAGTTACTCCATGGACGTGGGTTCGGTCAAGAACGCCATTATTCGGAGTGAAGCTGTTGCTGTAGGTAATTTTAATTTTTTATTTTTGTACTCAAATATATTAAACATAAAAATTATTCTAGGTCCAGTACAAACCTTAAATGTCCAACCTCTAGATGAATCAGAAAACAGTGTTGATCTGGCAGAAGAACGTGTTGTTCCGTCGGAAGACACTATAGATCAGCCAGAGAACAATACTGATCTTGTTCCTGAACAAATTCAGGATGACGGTAGGCATTCATGGTCTTATGACCAAACAAAAGCCCTAATAACTGCCGTTGAAACCCGTGATGAGGACATGTCCCATGTCCGTAAACGTAAAATATTCTGGGACACTATCAGACTGCCTACACACATGCAAGCGCTGCTGGCCGCACACAAGGACCTCACACTGAACAAGAGAGCCAAAGTCGCGGACTCCGTTGCGGAAGCATATGGTACCGTGGGTAGAATAGCTGAGACAACCGTACCACCCGCGATTCCGTTATCGACCCAGTGCGAATCAAGTATAGACAGATTGGCACGCACCTTGGTAGTCGTCCTACAAAAGCTGGCTGTAATGGAGGTCTCCCAGATATCGCGGCTCCAAGACCGTGTGTGAAGTCGAAATAAATTATTGTACCTAGATGACCTAATCACAGGCACTAATACAGTTGAGAAGGTCTAGAACACAGAAATACCAAAGTATATGCGACACAGCTAAACGGTCCTTCGATTAGCCTGCGGCGCAACGCCACATTTGGTCCTTCGAGTCTAGGGGTCATGAAACGTCCAAAAAACGTGGAACTAAAATTCATTTTTAATACTATAATTTATTCAGTTATTAGAGTAACGATCCGAAAAATGGTACTCCTGGTTTTACCACCGGGCAGGGATTAGTACTTATTGAGGAATTAACAACAGCCTCCTCTTATCTGAACCAATGGGTATTAAAAACACCCTCCCTCTTTATCTAAACCAATGAGGATGCAGGGCTCAACAAAGTACCACCACTTAATTAGCTTTCGTACTCTTGGTTTTATTTTTACTTGTTTTTATTCCACCTGCTACTACGAAAGGGTATAGACCTCCCTAGCAGTGATTTTGAAATCTTACGCCAAAATGTCTCGTAGAGTTTCCAAAGTGTCCCCTACAGTTTCTAGAGTGTCCCCTACAGTTTCCAGAGTGTCCCCCACAGTTTCCAGAGTGTCCCCTTTTACTATCGAGCGCCTTAAAGGCAATGTGTTTATCTGCAGACGTAAGTCCCAGAACCAATTGAGAACTGTTTACGTAAGCTTGAACCTCTATACGATGAATTTTTCGATGCTCACTGTGAAATAGAATAGTTAGAATCTTTGCTCAATCTACCTTCTAGCACAGTGCAAGTTACAGCATTTTTTAAAGATTATCATAACGCCCTTAGCGAATTACGTAATTTAGAAACCAAACACTGCCACCGGTTCGTGTATTCTAAAACTTCGCATTCAAGTCCGTCTAATCAGCGGCCCCTTTTAAAAGAAGTAGCTACTAAAACAGTAGCAAACGTTTCAACAAGTAAGGTTGAAAAACCAAACAGAAATACCAATAGATCATTTAGTTGCCCTTGTGGGCATGCAATTATCGTGCTCCTAAAGGGTAGCCAACCAACATTACACTGCCGCCGAATTCACTTCGGGATGAACGAGGATACCCGAGGAACAAGAAACGCGGGAAAAATAGATCGACGCTCGCTCTCTTCAATTCGCGCGGTCTACGAAAGTGGTTGTGTCCCAAGTCGCGTCCAACTCGTTATTATTATTAAGTTGTTATGTTGATGAAATAAAATACTATTAAAGTAGGACCGTATTTCTGTACACAAATAGCGAATAACAACAATTAGTGACCCTCTACAAAAGAACACAGTGTAAATACCGCGTCGCGTTTCGTCGTAAGTACCACGTGCATCAAGGAAGGAGCTAGATGAAACGAAGGCGGCTTTGGAAGAGTCGAAAAATCAACACCACGAGGTCGACGCTGTGAAATCGACCACCATGAAGGTACCACCGTTCTGGCAGAAGACTTCTGCATTGTGGTTCTCCCAGATTGAAGCGCAGTTCCATACTTACGGCGTGAAATCAGACATATCGAAATACTACATGGTTGTCAGCGCCTTGGACGGGATCATACTACAGACCGTTTCG